AACAAAAATTTTGAAAAGTGGCCGGGATTGAGCTCACGCGCCGGCGCGTGGCGTTTGGCTCGCAGGAAAGTGCCGCGCGTGGCGGCGCGTGAGAGGCTGTTTGTCGGAACTGTTTTCAGGGGTTTGGTCGGAATTGAATGAGCATGCTCATGGTGTTTATGGATCCTCAAGATTCCTTGTTCTCAGGCTCCTCGGGGAGTGTGCCTGAGAGCTCAAGAAAACAGAGAGAGAAAATAGAGACCACTAAATTGAAAAAGAATTTCAGCAGTAAGATATTTGTTCGCTTACATTGGTGTTCTCTTAATCAATCGGTTGGTGATATGAACTTTGCAGAATTTTCTTAATAGATTGGTTAAAAATCATGGAAGCATTGACCTCGAGTGGTTAAGGGATGTCCCACAAGATAAAGTGAAGTAAGAACGTAAATTATTTACTCAAAAATTATGGTCATCGTGATATTTATAGTTAAGATGTTGTCGAGCATTGTTTTATTACTCTGCTTCTGTTCAGAGAATACTTGTTGAGTATAGATGGGATTGGACCAAAGAGTGTGGATTGTGTTCGACTTTTGACACTTCGGAATCTTGCTTTTCCTGTAAGTTCTCAGCTGGGAGTTTTTGTCCACTTTTTTTTGGCCTTAGGAATCTCAACATTCTGGGTTTTTCTTATTTTCTCATTTTTTGCTCACAAGGTTGACGTAAATGTTGCTCGAATAGCAGTACGTCTAGGATGGGTCCCTTTGCAACCACTACCTGATGGCATCCAGATGCATCTTCTGGAGAGGTTTTAATTGAATAAATTCTATTTATTGTTGCTAAGGTTGAGCTAGTGTATATTAAGTGTTAATTTTCAATTAGGTACCCCCTGGAGAGTGACATACAAAAGTACCTTTGGCCACGTCTTTGCAACCTTGATCTGCTAACACTGTAATGCATTTCCACTTTCTTTAGAGTTTTCGTGTTAATGGATTTGCTTGTTACCTTTAATTCTAAGTAACCAAAAATTTGTTCCGGAAAATCTTCTGCTCATTAAGTTTGGTACGTGTGGCAGATATGAACTGCATTACCACATGATCACATTTGGGAAGGTCAGATTTACATTCAACCGTCAATGAGAGCAGAGTTTGATCAGCTATATTATTTCTTCAGAGAGCACTAACAGCAGGAGTTTTCTTCAATATCACATAGGTTTTCTGTACGAAGAGAAGTCCAAATTGTAATGCCTGCCCAATGAGAGCCGACTGCAGACACTTTGCAAGTGCATTTGCAAGGTTTGCATCGGATTACTGCTCAACTATAAAATAAACAATTTTTTTTATGCAATTGATATCCAGGCCTGTTTAGCATACACAAATATCTGAAGTATTATTTTTTGAGACTGGTACCAATATATTAAGAAAAAAAGGCACTAAGGCAGTGCAAAACCATATGTACAGGGGGGAAGATCAAAACTGATCCACCAGACTTACAAAAAACCTAACATGTCAACCAGGGACTCTGTATTCTCTACATGCCTTTCTTTACACCAAAAATAAAACAAAAGAATACAATTCATCTTAACATTCTGAAGAGTATTGTATCTGTCTTCAAAAACTCTTGAGTTCCTCTTTGTCCACACTGTCCACCATACACAAGCAGGTACCACTCTCCACCATGTCTTCTGACAGACTACACCTCCAATGTTATTCCAGGACTTTAGAAGCTCCAGAGTAGTTGCAGGCATTGTCCATCTGAGGCCCACAATGTTAAGGAACAATTGCCACAATTGACTAGTGATAGGACAATGCATGAACAGATGACTGTTGGTCTCTAGATCTGTGCCACATAACAAACATCTCGAGCATAACAGAAATCCCCTTCTTTGTAGGTTTTCTTGGGTTAAACAAGCTTCTCTTGCTACCAGCCATGAGAAACAAACCACCTTAAAGGGAGCTTTAGCTTTCCATATGTTCTTCCATGGCCATCCCACTGTATGCTGATCTGCATTTGTAAGCATGAAATAGGCAAATTTGACAGTGTATACCCCGTTCTTGCAACAGTGCCATAATAAGGTGTCATCATTTTCATTGAGCCCTTTGAACCCTTCCAAAACCTTAAAAAAACCAGCAATTCTCCCCATTTCCCATTCATTCAGACCTCTTCTGAAAGTGATATTCCAACTATGCTGGCCCCAAGCTGCTTCCATTTTAATATGAGGCATGTTTGCAATACTGAAAAATTCTGGAAACATCTTTTAAGTGGACCATGCCCAAGCCAATTATCATTCCAAAATAGTGTCTTCCTACCATTACCCACCCTTGTGCTAGTGTTAACCAACACAGAGCTCCATAATTGTCTGATAGATTTCCAAACACCTAACCCATAGGAACTGTTAACATAACAGGGCTAGTGCACCACTGCTCAGTTTGACCATATTTCTCCCTTATAGCCTTTCTCCACAAAGCATTAGTGTCTGAGTTGTATCTCCACATCCACTTCATAAGTAAACTTTGGTTGTGTGCCTTGAGGTTCCTGAGTCCCAGACCCCACCTGCCTTTTGCTAGTGATAAGTGAGCTCCACTTTACCATATGTATGGCTCTTTTATCTTTGTTGCCCTGCCAGATAAAATTCCCCCTAAGTACAACAATTCTTTTCCTCACCTTGGATGGTATCGGAAACAAGGACATGACATAGGTTGGGAGTGCTTCCAACACAGTGTTTACCAAGACTACTCTGCCTCCCAAAGAAAGATACTGACTCTTCCAAGTTGCTAGTCTTTTTTCACATCTTTCCAACACTCCGCTCCATATTTCTTGAGCTTTATTCTTGGAGCCTAGTGATAGCCTCACATAAGTAGTTGGCAAAGATCCCACCTGGCAGCCCAAAATTGCAGCTAATACCTGTGTATTATCAACCGAATTAACCGGAAACAAACTACTCTTACTCCAGTTAACATGAAGCCCAGAAACAGCTTCAAATATTACAAGGATTAATCTTAGATGTTTCAGCTCCTCAGCATCAGCATCACAGAGAACTAAGGAGTCATCAGCATATAGTAAATGTGTGATCCTCAAACTGCTATCTTCCCTACTTGAGACTGAGAAGCCTCTTAGCCAAGCATTCCCCTGGGCAATCTGTATCATCTGACCCAGACCCTCCGTAGCAATAAGAAACAGAAAAGGGGACAAATGGTCACCTTGTCTGAGACCTCTTTGTGATGGGAAAAAACCTTCTGGAGAACCATTAACATAGAGAACATAACTCTTCTTATACAAAAAGAGATCCAATTAATCCACTTTGCACCAAAACCTATATCCTTTAGGACTTTCAGGAGAAAACTCCAGTTTACATGGTCATATGCTTTCTCAATATCTAGCTTACATAGGATCCCTGGAGTTTGCCTTCTAATTCTAGAGTCCACACATTCATTTGCTATCAATGCAGCATCCGTAATTTGTCTGCCTTTGATGAATGCCTTTTGGTGACTATTAACCAACTTGTCCACCACTCTTTTCAACCTCTCTCTCAATGTTTTAGAGATGATCTTATACACACTTCAAATTAGGCTAATAGGTCTAAAATCTCTCAGCTCCTTTGCACCACTCTTTTTAGGGATTAGTGCTATATAAGAGGCATTGAAACTCTTCTCAAAGTATTCATTGCAATGGAAATTCTTAATGGTCTTCATAAGATCCTCTTTAACTACCTCCCAACACTTACGAAAAAATCCCATAGTGAATCCATCTGGACCAGGGGCTTTATCTGACGCACACAGTTTTAAGCTTTCCAATACTTCTTCAAAGTCCCTTTGCATCCACACCCTTTCTTCCTCTGTAATGCTTGTCCCACCCATTATGTTGAAATCAGGCCTCCATGGTTCTGTTTCAGTATACAGATTCTGATAGTAGGCCTCCATGGTTCTGTTTCAGTATACAGATTCTGATAGTAGGCCTCCATGGTTCTGTTTCAGTATACAGATTCTGATAGTAGGCCTCCATGGTTCTGTTTCAGTATACAGATTCTGATAGTAGGCTACAATCTCCCTTTTAATATCATCTGGATTAGTAATGACTTCCCCTCGAACTTCTAATTTATCTATGTAGTTGAATCTTCTGTGAGAGTTTACCATTTTCTGAAAAAACTTGGTGTTTTTATCTCCCTCTTTAAGCCACAATGTATCTCTTCATGTTTTGCTACCTCCTCGAACTCCATGTGAAGACTTGCCTTTTGCAACAATTCATTCTCATTAAGAGGTCTCTGTTCCTCGAAGTTATCTAGAGCTGAGATCTGCTCCAGAATAGCACTCTTCTTTACCTTCAAACTCCCATAATTGTTGGCATTCCATTGCTTCAGCTTTGTTTTCAAACCTTTAAGTTTGTAGGCTAGAACATAATCTAGTCTTCCCTCTATCTGAAAAGAGTTCCACCAGCCTTCCACCCTCTCCGTAAAGCCTTCAACCTCCAGCCACCAGTTCTCAAACTTGAAATAAGGCTTTGAGAATTCCCAATCCCCACATTTCAGAGAAATTGGGCAGTGATCGGAGCTAATTCTAGGAAGTAAGGACAGCTTAATGTTACTAAACACCTCATCCCACTCCACAGAGAATAGAAATCTATCTATTCTAGAAGAGCATTCTTGATTTTCCTTTTTCGCCCAGGTAAACATTCCCCCTAACAATGGAGGATCTACAAGTTCCAGCTCCCCGATGATCTCTGAAAAATCCCTCACTGCCCTGGTAAACCCACCATTGTGTCTTCTCTCATTTGCAAATCTAGTTGTATTGAAATCCCCACAAACCACCCAAGCCCCCTCGCATACCCCTCTAGAAACTGCCATTTCCCACCATAATTCCTCCCTTTCCCTTCTAGTTTGTGGACCATACACCCCAGTTAGACTCCAATCAAAATCATTATGCAGAGAGTTAATTCTGCAAGTGATGCTTTACAAACCAGAATTAACTAACTCCCCCCTCCATACTCTTTTATCCCACATAATTGAGATACCGCCACTCCTCCCATTAGCCCCTAATCCCACATAAATATGCCCATCTATTACAACACAAATGTTTGACTATTGTACCACATTCCTCTTCCAACTTTGTTTCATGAAAGCATATATGTCTGCTCTCCATTCTTGAATCAAAGGTTTGATAACCCTTTTTTTATCAACCCCGTTTAACCCCCTCACATTCGACGAGATAATGTGTACCTTCATTTATCACTATTACTTATGTTTCTCCCCCTGTTTCTCGATCCTCCTTCTTTGAATTTGATCCCAAACGAGGTCAGATTCTTGACCTCCTTAGATCCTTTTTGTTTTCGTGTAGTTGTGGTAGAACTGTTGGGAACACAAAGCTTCTCCTGCCTTTTCCTATCCAACTTCATGAAGAGCTAGAAAGCCTCCCATTCGCAACCCTGGAAATTGACTCCGAGCTGTTAGCTTAATTTCACCACGTTTCTGTGAACCCACAAAGAAGCTTCAAGTTCTGCTAACTGAATCTGCATCTCCAGAGGAAGAGGGTCCTCCATAGGAGGCCATTGGTGAGGTTGTTCTGCTGTCACCAATTGTAACTCATTCACCCCATAGCTACTGTTAGCCAAATCCCCAACTTTCTGACTTATACCTTCATCTGTATCTATGTTGCTCACATCTGAAAAGGCAAGGTATAGATCTCCTGAGCTTCTTTGTGATACTTCTTCTCTGTCTTCCTCTACTTCCACCATCACCAATTTTGTTTGATAGATGTTTGCTTCGATCTCATCTAACAAAGGGTCGTACCAACAGCTGCAAACTCCTTTTGTTCATTTATATTCAGTCTCTGGTCCAGGCCCATAACTTGGCCCAAAGCCCTTTTCCCTTTAAAACCCTCAGCTACCTCCCTAACGTGCTCCACACAGGAAATCTCACCCATCTGCGCCACACACTCCTTATTTTTTTAAAATTTGCAGTTATCTCTTTACCCACGTGCCCAGCCACTCTATATCCTATAGACTCAGACAAGCGATTGGACTCCCGCAATTTCAGGTCTCTAGGATCCCCGACGTACTTTCTACCAACTCTCACCGTCGACGGCCATTCACACCAAATCAGTAAGGTAAAATCAGACCATTTTTCTCCAGATCAATGAGGCGAGGAATATTTTCTGGTGGACCTCTAACTTTGATTCTTGCCCACTTCAGGTGATTTTTCAATGTTGTCTCCTCTTCTGTTTCAATCCACCCGCCACACTTATTGCCTATTTCCACCATCGCCTCCTTTATCCAGGGGTGAAGAAGAAGCCCAATAATTCTGACCCACAGCCAGTCAATTACTTCATCGGACTTCGTGCATGCAAGTTCTGGCGACCACCATTTCAGTTTCAGAGGTTCGTGCCTCCACTTCCAGTCATATTCGAACAGATATTGCCTCTCGTTCAGAACATAAATAAGCACTCCATATGCTGACTTCCATTTATCAGCCACCCATCTGTGCAAATTGGCTCGAGTAGGAACCTCTGGCTTCCCTGAGAAACTGCCTATTAAGCACCTGCTTAACAGATCATTTTATATGTTGTCCTCGACTTCGGAGAAGCTGATACAGTCACTGTGGTGCTCAATCCTGTGACCACCTTCCTTTAAAGACCATTTGCTTTTGGCTAGAGCATCACCATAAGAGATTTTCATAATGGGAGGCAGCTTCTCAACTTCATTCACAACTCCTTTGTATGTAAACTTTGAGATTTTTTTAGCTATATCTCCCCACCCCCTGTTAGGAGCCAGTTCAGGAACAATAATATCTGATCTCCTCTCCCCTTGTACTGCCACAATACTGATGAATCTGCCATAACTGTTGTACTTCTGAGAACAAAAGTAATTGTGTAAATGGTCTTTAAGTCTCCAGTTGTTATACTTAATTCCCCTGGTTCCTGTTGCCAAATGTAATAAATGGCAAATCCACAGCAGGGCCTTCTTGCTAACTGTCATTCTGTGCATTGAATTCCCTTTGCTTTCCACCCAATCATACTAGGGGTGTGCATTCGATTTATCGATTCGATTTTGACCCTTATCGATAATTACTTATCGATTATCGATTTGTACATATGCTTATCGTTATCGTTTCAATAAGGTTTCGATTTTTTCGATTTCGATTTATCGATTTTGGGAGCTTATCGATTCGGTTATCGATTGCACCAATAAGAAAATTTGCGGAATTCCACGGAAAGTATATTGCTATAAACGCGCCTAACTAATATGGACAAAAAGAAGCTAAAATAAGACGAATACCGTTTATAACATAAAAATTGTGTCAACAAGCACATGCAACAAAACTAAAGTAAGGGATCAAATGTATGCCACCAACACTCCAACAGTATAAAAAACAAAACAAAACAAAATACATCATCACGGCTAATTTTGTTTTCCATTAATTTGAACTTCATTCCCTNTCAAAATAATAGCGGAATATATATACATTCTGTATGTTATATTAAAAAATTATAGTATAAATTTTATACACTTTTTCTGCTACCAAATGTCTGGCGTAGGCTAAAAGTAATAATACCCCTATAGATTATTAGCTATAAGATATTTGTGATAAATTAATTAATCTACACAAATAGGTAATTATTCATTTTACAAGTGTCTACAGTTAGGGGTGTGCATTCGATTTATCGATTCGATTTTGACCCTTATCGATAATTACTTATCGATTATCGATTTGTACATATGCTTATCGTTATCGTTTCAATAAGGTTTCGATTTTTTCGATTTCGTTGATTTCGATTTCGATAACAAATAATCGATTCGATTTATCGATAAACCGATTCGAATGCACACCCCTAAATCATACCACATTTCAGACCTAGAACGGTATTCCGTTATATCGATAGATTTGCCTCCCGCATTAAGATAAATAGTATTGTCCATATTATGTTGCTCTCGAACCCATGTTTTTGGTCAATCAGCAAGATTGAAGAAAAACTCAGTCCCTCCGATGAGCGATCCTGCCTGAAACTGTTGGAAAATGACTTTAGTAACTTACCTCGTAACCCGTGCCGAGAGCATTAGCCTCCTATCGTTTTTTTCTTGCTAGTTTTTAAGATGCCAATCAATAGATTATATCTGAAGTATTAACAATTCCCATAGGTAAAGAAAATAGGAGACAAGATTGGAAAAGAAAGAGAGAAAATTTTGTAAAGAAGTATCACTAGTAGGTTACTTCCCATTTGGTGTTGGTTTTAAAACCTATACACCTGAATAACTTCAGGTGCAAAAAAGCGATTTTCCAAACAATGAATATTTCATATTCCAGGAAACCTTGTCAAATTCATCCTCGTGCATCAGAATATTTATAAATTTGCACTATGCAGTTCTAGGCTTCGCCTCCCAGGACCACAGCAGAAAGGAGTGGCTACCGTTAAGCAGCCTGTTAGAGTTGATGAAGTCCCAAACATATGTCTGCCGTCACCAGCTTTGTCCCTTTCTAGCAGAAGCTTCTTGGAGTCCAGGTTCCAGACTCAAGATTGTGAGCCTATCATAGAAATGCCAGCATCTCCGGAGCACAAATCTCTAGAATCACTGGAACGAGACATTGAAGACTTTCCTTATGAGGTGGAGCATGAGCAGGAGATGCCTACCATCCGACTCAACACCGAAGAGTTTCGAGAAAATGTCTTGAACTTTATCAACAAGTCCAACACTAAAGAGTTTCAAGAAAGTGTGTTGAACATTGTTGATGAGATCAGTACATTGAATCAAGATGAAGAAGTGTCAAAAGCCTTGGTTCTTTTGAATCCAGTGTCTGCTTCACATCCTGCTCGTAAACTGAAGTATGAGAGTCGACTAAGGACTGAGCAGTTAGTGTAAGTAATAATTCCATCTTTTTGCGTATAGCAAATATTTCAAGTTACAGAACCATATGCTTATAACATGAGCAAATAGTATGTTAAATTGAACACATGCAGTTGTTATTTGAACACATGCAATTGTTATTTGCTTAAGCTTTTGGCATACAACATTTTGCTGATTATAACTATGACAGGGTTTGATGTTTTTGACATCAAAATTTTCATCAGGCAGCATATTACTAAGTCTTGATACTTATATTTCTTATGTGAGAAAATATCTAGGAAAGTTCCATAAAAGCTAACAATTCCTCACTCGGTTGCAGGTATGAGCTTCCAGATTCACATCCTCTTTTGAGTGGGGTAATTTCTTATACATCTTAATATATCATTTTTTATGCAACCACATGCATTAATGTCTACTACTTTACAGTTTGAGGAACGGGAGCCTGATGACCCCTGCCCTTACCTTCTTGCCATCTGCCGAACAGGTAAAGAAGTATTGGTGGATGCTTACTACGAATGTCATCTCCTAATAATGCATCTCTCCTGACGTAGTTCAAACTAACTATTTTTTTTTAACTTTAAGAGGATCTAGAGCGACGTGATGCAGAGATATGCTCAGGCAGTCCAAGTTCCTCCCAATATGATCAGATAGTTTATGGAACTATTTTGGTAAGTTCATCATGAACATTCTTTCATATTGTTTCGTAAGAGATTCTTCATTTGGATATGAGACATATTACCATGATTTTACAGATACCATGTCGGACGGCGAACAGGGGAAGTTTTCCACTTAATGGAACGTACTTTCAAGTTAATGAGGTAATCAGATTGTGTGATTGTTTCTCCATGAACTCCTCTTTGTTGCTGCATGGTCACTACTTCATTGTGTTACTGTCAACCTCACAAACAATTTTCTTGTACACCAGGTTTTTGCTGATCATGAGTCAAGCAAAAACCCAATTCCTGTTCTGAGGACGTCAATATGGATTTGAGACGAAAAACTTTATTGTTCGGAACTTCAGTTACGACCATTTTTAAAGGTGGAAAATATTCTGTTGCTTGTAATATTTCACTTTGATCTGGTCATGTTTTATCAAGACTTGGCTTCATAAATACTGATATTACTCATAATTCAAACCAGGCATGTCAACAGAAGACATTCAGTATTGCTTTTGGAGAGGTATGGCACATCTCTTCTGTATATACAAAATTGAAAAAAGTGTTGCTATTTTGTGAGGTTCTATACCTTCATATCTCTTCTGAACTTGATATATTAAATAGAATTACTAAGAATGGTCAGAAGTCTAGTGAAAATTGAAAGGAAATCTTGGCTAAAATGGATTTCACAATATATAAGTTTCTATTATAGTGGAAATCTTGGAAATACATAATGAAATGACTAGGATATCTTGCCTACGAACTAGGTGATAGAGAAATGTTGGAACAAAATACAGTATCATGTCTTTTGTATACAANATGACTAGGATATCTTGCCTACGAACTAGGTGATAGAGAAATGTTGGAACAAAATACAGTATCATGTCTTTAGTATACAATGTAGGGGCCAAATGTTATACTCCAATGACAGTGAAAGCATTTCCACAGGCATATTAGCCATGCTCATCTTTTATGTTTGATTTGATGATGGTAAGTTTCGTTACAAGGCAAGTAATATCATGACCGTAATTCACAATTACCTTACGTTTAGATGAATAAAAATTATAAGAAACAGTACTTTCTTGCTGAAGGAAAAAATTGTCTTATGTTTCAGATCTTGTGTCTTTTTGCAGGATATATGACTGTGAGAGGATATGACAGAGAGCAGAGGGCACCCAGACCCCTCCATGATCGGTTCCATTCAGGATCAAAAAGTAAAAGATAGTCAATTCTGATGATTTGCATTTAGAGGTGGCAGTTATTTGATAGGTGATAAAAGCGTAAACTATTTTTGAAAACCTGTACCCATTTATCATTCGTTTAACATAATTTTCTTGTGAGAATCATGATCGTCCTTTGATGGAAAAGGTCATCCTAGTCGCTCATATAGTTGCTAGAATTGTTTCATTCTTTTGCTATTTCTATTACTTGACAGGATTTTCTTGTTGTAGTTATTCCAATCGTTGCTTTGATCATTTGGTTAGTCTATTTTCCTGATTGAGAGCTATCCTGCCAAGTTACAAGGATATAACTTATGGTAGATCCTGTGAAACAAAGGAAGATATCTATTCTCATTTGGGATGCGCTCAAATGGTATATGACTTGAAAAATATCAAGGAAAAAGATGGTGTGTGACTTGAGCGCCTTTATTTAGGAGTAGTCAAACATACGTCAGGCAGCTCATTGTCATACAAAGTTTTTGATGTATTCTGGACAGTATAAATTTATGGTTGTTTATTCTTCTTTGTATGGTACTTGCTCATTCCCTCTTTATTTTTTTTCCGTGAGAGCAACCTCTTGCAGAAATGGAGAGTAAGGCTGCGTACAATAGATCCTTGTCGTCCGGCCTTTCCCCGGACCCCTCGCATAGCGGGAGCTTTAGTGCACCGGATTGCTCTTTTTTTTTCTGATAGTTTTATATTAGCTAAATTCATTGTTAGCGGAAACGTAAAAGAAAGAACACAAGATTTAACGTGGTTCGGATCAAAATAATC